GGATCAATAAATGTGCAAATCCATCCAATGATCATGGAATTTGCAGCCAACCATGATGACAGCTCTGGGTTCGTAGTTGGTTTTACAATCGATCCATCAATAAATCCAAGCTTTTGTTTAGCTTGAAGAGAATTCTGGATTCAGTGGCCCATTCTGCATAATTGTCTTCTTTCAAGATGACGGAGGAGATTAGAGCTCCGGGGTTGTCAGATGAATTAAGGAGGTAAGGTGATGGTGGTGTTTCGGTTGTGATGGTAGGTGTTGCTCAGAGTAAGATGTGAGACTCATGTTGATAGATGTAGCAACAGCTGCTTGTTGAAGCAGCGATGGCTATTTGAAACGGCGGCGGCGGTAGCTGAAGGTAGCGATGGCGGCAGCGACAAGAGATAATAATTTTAGGGTAAAAAAAATTTAGGTCAGAGAATTTTATGCTCTGATACCATGAAATATTGTATGATGACTTACTTTTATTTCATTCAATTTGTGCGATATTATATATATATACACAATAGTTTCCTATTCTGATATGGTAATATAGAATATGTGATTCATATATATCCTTTACTAATAAACTACCATGCTTCTCTCTTCATCTTTCAAATATTTCTTAATAACACTAGAAGAAATTATCTCTATTACGTTCTTAATAACGATCTATACTATTATTTGAGAAGTAGATTTCCTACGTGTCACTCCCATGTTCGCTTTCACCATATTTTAGTCATCGTTTTTTCCAATTATATCTTTAATGAAAATCGTGATCTAATTCTCAGTTTGGTGTTATTAGTTTTGATTTTGATTTTGGGCCGTAGCCCACAACATTATTTCTTGTAAATCCTAAATTATTCTGTGTAAACCCTAAATATATTTTCCTATAAATAGTGTAATCTTCTCTAGCCACTTTTTATTTTTCTTGCGGTTTAGTTTCGTTCATATAGATTTTCCTGTAGGTTTAATTTAGTTCAGGCATATTATAGTTTGTTTGTTTTTGTTATATTTAGTGTATGAAGCTGATTTTGTGGGTTTTTGTTTTAAAATATATCCAGAAAGGAGAATCAACAAATGCTAGCCCTAAAAGATCAAACAAAAGGTATATTTTTTTTTTATCATTATGTTTCTCCTTCACATCGAGCTTCAGATGACATGATATTCACAATTACTGGTAAAAATCGAAACCCTCTTCTTTTCCTTTTAAGGATTTAATTTAGTTCATGCATATCATAGTTTGTTCGTTTTCTTATTGTATTTGGTGTATAAGATTGATTTATGGATTTTTGTTTTAGAGTATATGGAGAAAGATAATCAACTAATACCAGTCCTAAAAGGTCAAACAAAAAGGTATGTTTTTTTATCCTTATGTTTGTCTTTCACATCGAGTTTCAGACTACATGATATTCACGTTACTAGTAAGAATCGAAGCCTTCTTTCTCTTTTTGATCTAGACAAAGATGAAAACGATATATTTTTATTGACAAGGCTTATTTTTTATTTTATTTGGTATGAGTCTGATCATTTTTTTTGTTTTGTTTAAAGGTATATGGAAAAAGAAAATCAAATGCTTCTCCGTTCCTCTCTCCAATCGGAAGCAAAGATGGATTCGATGCATCTTAGTGAGTTCAAGGCCTTCATTGATCAGTGTATCCTTCCCTTCTCTCTACACCTACTCTCTCTTTCATCCGCAAGTACCTCAAGAGGTAGTTGTAACGATCCAAGCCCACGTAATTTTTGGATAAGCCCAACGAGAGTTGCCAGCCTAAAACATGGCTCAAACCTAATTACCCCCCACCATTGTCTCCTTCCTCTTCCATCAAAAAGCTGCAAACAACAACTCGACGAGCTGCACCCATCTTTGACAACGCCGAACTGCTGCCTCGATCACGCCAGAGTCGCCATCACTGTTTCAAACCAAGTCAGGGTCTCTTCATGTGATTCGTAGCCATGAGGAGACGTGCACACGAGTCAATCCCGAGCCGTCGTTTCTCGATCGCGCCGCCACCGTTCACAAACACCGGCGATCTGCTGCTCCGAGTCACCGCCATTGTTTGTGAATTGTTTCTGTGTTAAGAGACCTGAGATCCCCTTCGAGTTATTTTATCATCTCTGTTGCACCCGTTTTCTCCGAGAGTGTTGATTGGCTGAAATCTCCATTGTTGTTGTACTGTTTGTCAAAAAAAAAGAAGGACGGAAGTTTTCGACTATGTATTGACTACCACGGCTTGAACAAGGTGACCATTAAGAACAAGTATCCACTGCTGCAGATTGATGAGTTGTTAGACCAGCTACAAGGAGCATCGTGGTTCTCGAAGATCTATTTAGCATCGGGGTACCATTAGATCTCGATCGCTGAAGAGGATGTTCGAAAAACGGCTTTTCGAACGCGGTATGGACACTACGAGTATGTAGTAATACCGTTTGGTTTGACTAACGACCAGAAGTTTTTATGAAGTTGATGAACAATGTGTTTTGAGAGTACTTGGATAAGTGCGTGATTGTTTTCATTGACGACATCCTAATTTACTCGAAGAGTAGGAAATAGCATGATGGGCATCTACGAGTTGTGCTGAATAAGATGAGAGAGCAAAAGTTATATGCAAAATTGAGCAAATGTAGTTTCTGATAAAGAGAGATCGGATTTTTGGGACATGTAGTTTCGGAGGCCGGAGTGGCTGTAGATCCCGAAAAGATTGTCTCGATCTCCTCTTGGCCGATGCCTAAGAGTGCCACGGAGGTCCGAAGTTTTCTTGGCTTGGCGGAATATTATCGAAAGTTTGTAAAAGGGTTTGCCAGCCTAGCAAAACCAATGACACATCTGACTGGTAAAGACGTGAAGTTTGAGTGGTCGGAGTCATGTTCAAAAAGTTTTAAGAATTTAAAGGAGCATTTAACACAGACGCCCATATTAGTGTTACCCAGAGCGGGAGTACCATATGTGGTTTACACTGATGCATCAGGATCGGGGCTAGGATGTGTACTTATGCAGAAAGACCGAGTTATAGCATACGCTTCTAGACAGCTACGTAAGCATTAAACAAATTATCCGACACATGATTTGGAGCTAGCAACAGTTGTTTTTGCTCTTAAGATTTGGCGCACCTATTTGTATGGAGAGAAGGTACAGATAATGATGGACCATAAGAGTTTAAAGTACATTTTCACCCAAGGGAATCTGAATTTAAGGCAGCGCAGATGGGTGGAGTTATTAGCAGATTATAATTTGGAGATCACCTACCATCCAGGGAAAGCTGATCAGGTGGCTGATGCGTTGAGCAGACGGAGAGGCGATGCCTCCAATGTTAAAGATGTGCAAGAGCTAGTCGCGACACTGGCAAGTCTGAGCTTATGCGCTACGACAGTAGAAGAGAATACTATGGCAGTAAACCAAGCAGACTTATTATGGAGAATTAAAGAGGCGCAGGAAGCGGATTTTGCTTTACGGAAACTAATAAATAAGGAAGTGCTTGGGTATCACACTGCAGCCAATGGAACATACATGTATAGGAATCGGGTATTCATTCCCGAGGACGAGGAATTAAGGAATGAGATCTTGCGCCAGGCGCACCAGTCACGTTTCTCTGTTCACCCTGGAAACACCAAGATGTATCGTGATTTATAGCAGTACTATCATTGGGGCGGAATGAAGCGAGATGTCGCTACTTGGGTATCACAGTGCCAGACATGTCAGTTGGTGAAAGCGCAACACAGAGTTCCTAGTGGATTGTTGCAAAATTTACCGCTACCTGAGTGGATATGGGATATGGTTACAATGAACTTCGTTACAGGACTACCAAAGACAAGCGGTGGTAAAAATGCGATCTGGGTGATCGTAGATCGACTTACCAAGTCAGCTCATTTTCTGGCAATTAAGAAAACGTATGGAGCAGATCAACTGGCTCATAAATATTTGGACGTAATAGTAAGATTAAGCATCGTGTCTGACCGAGATTCTAAATTCACATCGATATTCTGGCAGGCATTTCAGAAAGCATTGGGAACAAAAGTACGCCTCAGTACGGCTTATCATCCGCAGACTGATGGACAGTTAGAAAGGACAATTCAGACATTGGAGGATATGTTGAGAGCCTGTGTATTAGACTGGGAAGGAAAGTGGGGAAAATATTTACCTTTAGCTGAGTTCTTCTACAAGAATAGTTACCATTCGAGCATTTAAATATCTCCTTACGAGGCTCTGTATGAGAGGCCGTGTCGTACACCCCTTTGTTGGACCGAAGTGGGAGAGCGCCGAGATTTAGAACCGAAAATGGTTCGAGAGACAGTCGAGCAAGTGGAATTGCTCCGGAATAGACTTAAAGAGGCGCACGACCGTCAGAAAAATATGCAGATAAGTGTAGAAAAGATCTAGAGTTTGCAGTGGGCGATGAAGTGTATGTGAAAAGTGAGAACATTTGGGGGAAATGACAAGACTCGAAAGTTGAAAAAGCTTAAGCCGAGGTATCTGAGGCCGTATGTTATAACATAAAGAATTAGTGCAGTGGCTTATCAGCTAGAGTTACCGCAGGAACTGTCAGATTTCCATAACGTGTTTCATGTTTTGGTTCTGAAAAAAGTTGTCAGAGAGCCAGAGTTAATTCTTCCGCACCCGCCTACAGATTTGGCTGGTAGTCTTTCGGTACAAAGCAGTCCGGTTAAAAATTTAGATCGACAAGAAACCCACGTTCAAGGTAAAACAGTTAAGTAAGTGAAAGTCTGTTGGGAAAAAGATGGTATTCGCGAGGAGACGTGGAAACCAGAATCAGAAATGCGAGTTAACTATCCCAAACACTTTAAGGATAAGAGTGGACATACGAGAAATAGATCGAATTCAGAGACGAATTCTTCTAAAGCGGGGGAGAATTGTAACGATCCAAGTGGATAAGTCCAACAAGAGTTGCCAGCCTAAAACATGGCCCAAACCTAATTACCCCCCCCCCCCCCATTGTCTCCTTCCTCTTCGCCATCACTGTTTCAACCCAAGTCGGGGTCTCTTCATGTGATTCGTAGCCATGGGGAGACGTGCACACGAGTCAACCCCGAGCCGCCGTTTCTCGATCACGCCGGCACCGTTCACAAACACCGGCGATCTGCTGCTCCGAGTCACCGCCATTGTTTGTGAATTGTTTCTGTGGTAAGAGACCTGAGATCCCCTTCGAGTTATTTTATCGTCTCTGTTGCACCCGTTTTCTCCGAGAGTGTTGATTGGCTGAAATCTCCATTGTTGTTGTACCTTCAGCTGCAAGCTTCCTACTCTCCTTTGATTGTTCTTGGTGTTCATAGTCATTGTCCGCGAGTTGGTGGTAAGAGATTCGAGTTCAGTTCTTCACTTTTGTTGCATCCGGTTATTCGTGGAGTTGTATCGTGACGTGTATGTGTTGTTTTTTTGGTTGCTTCAGCCGCAAGTTTCATCCTCTCCATTGGTTGCTGTCACGTTGGCCCGATGTTTGCTATTTCAGTGGTAAGCAAGATTCCTTCTACTGGGGTTCATGTCATCTTTTTTCCGAGAGTTAATGGGAACGTAAATGTGTGTAGTTCTTTGATTGCTTCAGCTCCAATTAACTTCGGTTGAGTTGTGATTGTGTTGTCGTGTACGTTCCCCTTCCGTCCGTTCGAAAAGCAAAGGTGAGGGCGGGATCCGTGGATTCTTAAAGCTTCTAATTAATTAGTATTTGTAAATGTTAGGTTTAGAAAATTGTTTGTTGATGGTGTTGATTGAGAAAATGAGGTTAAGTGATTGTTATGAGTTTAGATAAGGAATTGTTAAGTTGATGATGTGTTGGTGGAGAGTATATGTTATATTTTGGCGAAGTCAGACTGAGAGCGAGTACATGGCGATCCCGTTTAAGTCTGTACTTCAGTGCAGTCGGACTGAGAATAAGGACATGGCGATCCCATTAAAGCCCGTTAACCGGCTGACGAGCCAAATGGTGGTGGAAGATCTTTCGAGGTGTCCGACCAGCTCAGAGTCATGTGATTTGTGTTGAGTTATGATGGGATTAATATATTGTTGGTTAGTCGTGATTGGAAGTTGTGTTGATTGATGTTTGCTCTAGATTTAGTATTCGCATGTATTGTTTTGGTGTTGAGAATCATATGGGCGGAAACCGTTACTCACCCCCCCCCCCCATTGTCTCCTTCCTCTTCGATCAAAAAGCTGCAAACAACAACCCGATGAGCTGCACCCACCTTTGACAACGCCGAACTGCTGCCTGGATCACGCCAGTCGCCATCACTGTTTCAAACCAAGTCGGGGTCTCTTCATGTGATTCGTAGCCATGGGGAGACGTGCACACGAGTCAACCCCGAGCCGTTGTTTCTCGATCACGCCGCCACCGTTCACAAACACCGGCGATCTGCTGCTCCGAGTCACCGCCATTGTTTGTGAATTGTTTCTGTGGTAAGAGACCTGAGATCCCCTTCGAGTTATTTTATCGTCTCTGTTGCACCCGTTTTCTCCGAGAGTGTTGATTGGCTGAAATCTCCATTGTTGTTGTACCTTCAGCTGCAAGCTTCCTACTCTCCTTTGATTGTTCTTGGTGTTCATAGTCATTGTCCGCGAGTTGGTGGTAAGAGATTCGAGTTCAGTTCTTCACTTTTGTTGCATCCGGTTATTCGTGGAGTTGTATCGTGACGTGTATGTGTTGTTTCTTTGGTTGCTTCAGCCGCAAGTTTCATCCTCTCCATTGGTTGCTGTCACGTTGGCTCGATGTTTGCTATTTCAGTGGTAAGCAAGATTCCTTCTACTGGGGTTCATGTCATCTTTTTTCCGAGAGTTAATGGGAACGTAAATGTGTGTTGTTCTTTGATTGCTTCAGCTCCAATTAACTTCGGTTGAGTTGTGATTGTGTTGTCGTGTACGTTCCTCTTCCGTCCGTTCGAAAAGCAAAGGTGAGGGCGGGATCCGTGGATTCTTAAAGCTTCTAATTAATTAGTATTTGTAAATATTAGGTTTAGAGAATTGTTTGTTGATGGTGTTGATTGAGAAAATGAGGTTAAGTGATTGTTATGAGTTTAGATAAGGAATTGTTAAGTTGATGATGTGTTGGTGGAGAGTATATGTTATATTTTGGCGAAGTCAGACTGAGAGCGAGGACATGGCGATCCCGTTTAAGTCTGTACTTCAGTGCAGTCGGACTGAGAATGAGGACATGGCGATCCTATTAAAGCCCGTTAACCGGCTGACGAGCCAAATGGTGGTGGAAGATCTTTCGAGGTGCCCCACCAGCTCAGTGTCATGTGATTTGTGTTGAGTTATGATGGGATTAGTATATTGTTGGTTAGTCATGATTGGAAGTTGTGTTGATTGATGTTTGCTCTAGATTTAGTATTCGCGTGTATTGTTTTGGTGTTGAGAATCATATGGGCGGAAATCGTTACTCACCCCCCCCCCCCCCCCCCCATTGTCTCCTTCCAAAAAGCTGCAAACAACAACCCGACGAGCTGCACCCACCTTTGACAACGCCGAACTGCTGCCTGGATCATGCCAGAGTCGCCATCACTGTTTCAAACCAAGTCGGGGTCTCTTCATGTTATTCGTAGCCATGGGGAGACGTGCACACGAGTCAACCCCGAGCCGTCGTTTCTCGATCATGCCGCCACCGTTCACAAACACCGGCGATCTGCTGCTCCGAGTCATCGCCATTGTTTGTGAATTGTTTCTGTGGTAAGAGACCTGAGATCCCCTTCGAGTTATTTTATCGTCTCTGTTGCACCCGTTTTCTCCGAGAGTGTTGATTGGCTGAAATCTCCATTGTTGTTGTACCTTCAGCTGCAAGCTTCCTACTCTCCTTTGATTGTTCTTGGTGTTCATCTTAGCAGAATCACTGACTTAAGTTACTTTAACCGAGAATTAATCAAACCTTTTGTTTGGATCAGGGACTACCTTAGTACTCAATGCGGTTAAAGATGGATGAAGACAGAGATGTTGCAGATGAGTTCTTGGAAGATCATCATAACTGTAAGACTTTGCCAAAAAGATGCAAAACAAAAGCTGCAAAAGTGAGAGGTTTAGTGATATCTTCTGATGGGAAACTTCAGCCATTAATGCACTAAGAAATGAACACCAAGGAGAAAGATTTGCTGAATAGTGTGTGATTGAATCAGAGAAAGGGTAGAATCTGTGTTTCATTAGCCATTTAATCTCGATACGAGTCGCTGGTTGTTGATACTTGAGAACTTTTTTAAAAAATGTTATTTAACTGTGAATTTTGTTTAGTGAATCTCTCTGTTGGGGTTGTCTGAAAACGTATGTGCAATTGTTGGAGATCCTGTAGTACTACAAGTTCTCTGTGTGTATACATTACCTCCGACCTCCTTGCTAGCAAAATATTATGCGTTTCATATTCTCTACACCAATAATATGAGAACTATATCGTGTATTTGATATATTGATTTGATTTGCATAAAACCCAAGCAAGTATAAATTATATATGACCCAAAATTATATAGATTTGTTTTTAAAAATCGTGTATTCAACTTTACATTTGGAATTATTTGGGTTTTAATAAGATAATTTTGTTGATTTTGAGTAAATTTAGAAAAGTTGCAATAATTTTTTTTTATCTCACTTAAGATCATAAAATTTGAATCTTTGCATTTTTAACTAACATTTTGGTATATTGCTAAAAAAACATTTTGGTATACATATGTTTTTTTGTGTGAAATGGTATACATATACTTCTGTTCTATATATTTCTATTAGAGAATTCAAATCCAATATTTCGCTTGATGCTTAAAGAACATATTTTTATGTCACATATCTGTCCCGAAATTTCGCCGGTGAAAGAAAACAATCTTTGAAAACTTATACCATACTGAAAAAAGTATATTTCGCAAATAATAATATACACGTAGGATTTTTGCTTATTTAAGAAATCATATATTGTTACCGTGTTATTTTGATATCAATATATAAAAAATGATTTGATGGTTATATTAGAGATGAAGGTAATGAAAAAGTCAAAAAGCTGAGTAAGAAGAGAAAAATAGGATAATGATGAGGAGAAAAGCAGAGTGAAAGAAGGCGACGAAGATCATAGGACAAGGATGAGAGAACCAAAGAGAAAACAAAGATGAAGGGTAAGATTCCCTTAATTACCCTTGATTTCATAGTCTATGAAGGTTTATTACTCTTAAAGTTGCATCGTAATGTTTTTATTTGTTTGTCGTTCTTATTATGTTGTGTTTTTGAATTTTGTTGCTTATAATTGATATAATTTATAAGAAACAACATTTGAAAAAGTACAACTTTATTAATTGGTTAGACCAAAGCTTGCGAAAGCTGAGCTATTGCTAAAGGAATGCTAATTATATATTTTCTCTCTTAGCTCCTCTAAGTTCTCTTACAAGTAATGATGTTTTATATATAGCGTAAGATAATGTTCGTTTGGTAATTTATAACTCATCCTCTCATGTTTAGCAGATGGTAGGTCTGGTGCAATTTATAAAACTTGGTTGTGGCAGATTTTGGGAGTAGCGTCTAAGGTTAGCGTATTTATATATCTTGGAATCATATTTGGATTTTATTAAATTTTTAATTTTGTAGATTTTAGTAATTTGTGATGTTTTTTTTTGCAGTCTCTAGACAGATGTGTGAGAGTTCGTTCGTATGAGGTTTCATAATTGGTATATGTTTTTAGTATTATTGGGCTGCGAACAAGAGATGGTTATCACTGGTTTCTGGTCGATTGTTTATTAACTTATTCGTTTGATTTTCGTTTAGGTCCCCGCCATAGAACTCATGATAATGCTCTGAGATTAGGATGGAAAGCTAAATGAGGAAGTTCCAATTAGACAAGCCGTTTAGATCGACGATATCTGCTCTCTTTTTCCTTCTCCAATGGTTTTCAATGTTTTCTCGATACATGGAACTAAGTTTCGAACTGAGTCATGATCAAACTCCAGTTTTTGTTGTTGTTGATCTATCTCGACTCTCGAGTTTGAAATTTAATGCAAATCTTATTTTCTGTTGGAAATAGTGATTCCTTCACATGCCTGTTATTGATCTTGTAACCAAATAATCAATTTTTGATAGATTTTTTCATTCTCAAATGCGTTCAACTGGAGGTAGGCATCTCCAAGACTGGTTGAGGAGAATATTCCACAAGTTGATGAGAAGTGCTATTTGGATGATGCAGAACCAATGGAGACCATTGAAGAAACCTCCGTGCATGGAAACAATGCCTCTAATGGATTAGGAAACTCAAGGAGATGATGTTCTTCTTTCTCCAGCTGCAGTATCCAATGGTGATGTGAAACTGAGACGGTCTTCGACAAGAGCGTTAGATAAACGATAAACGAGTACCAGGAAAATCTCAGGTTCAAACCCGTTAACGTGGGAAGCAAATGTGTTCGACTCATGATCTATGTAAACATGAGGATGATGTGGTGAAATAAAACCGTGGAAGCTGGTTAAGAAAAAGAATGTTGAAGGTGGAGACTTTGGGTGTGATCAAGAAGTTGTTGTGAAATGTTTCTAGGCCGGAGGAGAAGTCATTGCAGGTTTCAAAGAGCTGCTGCTGCAAGGGAGATTGTCAAATCTTGTGATGGATTTCGCACTAAGAGATTCGAAACCAAGAGTACTATTACTTTGAGTGATTAGGCTGTTGTACTTAGAATGGTGAAGAAGATAGAACATAATGTTAGGAAGGTTTCAAGGATCAGCGAGAGCAAGAGTTCTGAAGCAATAGCTTTGAAGAAGACCCGACTGAAGCAGGAGGAAGAAGGTGTACCTCGCACAACAATTAGAGAAATCTACCTCTTGGGAGAAAATTCAGCACATCAACATTGCCAAATTGGAAGGAACCATTGTCGAGAAGCATCTTTATCTTTTTTTTTTAATATCTTGAATAGCACATGGATTCAGGTCCTGATTTCCCAAAGGAGTTTCACATGATCAAAGGGCGTCTAAGATTTCTTGAATTTTCTGCTTCTTCATCTTCTGAATTTCTTTAAGTTTGGCATTCTCACGTTTCTTGATTTCACCGTGAAGAAGTTGATTGGTGTTTTGGGTTATTGTGAGAGAGAAAGAGAAACAATATGTTTTCTTCTCTTGGTAAGGATAAGAGAATGGTTAGCATTTCCAGCTTTCTTGGTGATGGCTGTGTATAGACAAAGACGTTAAAAAAGAAGAAGGAGAAGAAGATAATGAATTTTAAAAAAAAGACGAAGACACGAGATGAAGCAAAATTGTAAGAATAAAATATCGAAGAATACAAGGTGATGAAAAAAGAAAACGAAGAATCTCTCATTTGGCAAAGATATAGATGAAGAAAAAAGAGAAGATTAAGAAGAAGGAAAAGATAAAAAAATTGAAAAATAAAAAGGTCGAAGACAAAATAAAAAAATGGAAAATACACGAAAAATAAATGAAAACCAGTTTACAATAATTTCATCATACATATTAAATTTACACATAGCTCTTTATGATACAATTAATTAATTTATAATATATAATTATGACTTAATAGTTTAACACGGAAAGATTTCTTTTCGTGGATCAAAAAATCTACTACTTTTAATTAAATAAGAATAAAAATCAATTAAATGCTAATTGTATTCTTTCTTTTTTTGACATATAATCAAGAAATTAGAAATTCAAAATTCAAATTAATACTTAAATCATATAATTTATTTTTTAATATAAAAATGTCTGTAAAGTTTTTATTTTGCGCTAACATGAGAGATCACCTAAAAAAAGAAGACGAAAAAATAAAAAGCAGGAAAAATAAGAAATAGAGAATATACAGACGATAAAAAATGAGTGGGTATAGAAAGAAAAAAATGTAGGAGATGATGACGATAAATAATAAATTGAATGAGATGACTTGTAAAAAAAATAATTGAAAGATAAATAAGAGAAAGAATTAGGAACAAAGTCAATGAAGAAGAAGTCAAAAACTAAGAATATGACAAACAAATACGAATAGACATGGGAAAATGAAGACAATGATAACAAAGATTCTGAAGGATACGTACATAGAAGAGTTTATAGAAGATGAAAAACCGGAAGAATATGAAGTAGAAACATTTGCAAACGTACAACTTTATTAATTGGTTAGACCAAAGCTTGCGATAGCTGAGCTATTGCTAAAGCCTAAAGGAATGTTGATTATATCTTTTCTCTGTTAGCTCCTCTATCTTCTCTTACAAGCAATGATGTTTTACGAGATCCCTAACTTGGTGGTTGGCAACATTACATTTTCTTTTAGAGCTGAGAATATTTTAAATTTATGTACATTACCAAGCAATGAAACAAGTGGAAATCTATATATTCGAGTAGATGTTACAAAAAGGGTAAGTTGATTAAACCATACAGTAACAGAACTGTGAAGATATATGAAGATATTTAAGAGTGAATGTGCAGATTAAATTAGTCTAATGATGGTTTGACAATATTGAACTACATGCATGGTGGCTCTATAATGATAAAAATAGCATATCTTGAGGATTGTTATTATTGATTAATATCTTTTATAAAAATCTTAATTTTATTTTTTGGTGGCGAAATTTAAATTTTAAAATTGTGGGATTCCAGTTATATCTGGTATATACTATTGATAGCTTAATATATTATTATTCTTTCATAGTTTTGGATAGCTTAAAATTATTACGCTTTAATAATTTTGGAGTATTAATATCTATAAAGTTATAGTAATACATATATGATGAAAGCCTCAATATCCTAGGTCGCAGTATAAACCTATATAAATATCCAACTATTGTTGTATCAAATGTTTATAAAATAATCAGAGCGAGCAAGTAAAAAAACTCTTGTATTGTATGAGATATACCATGTTTTTGTCTTTTTAATGGTATGGTTTATATGGTTTTATGTGAGATGCTTCTTTGATTGCTCTATACTGATTGTACATTTCCAGGGAGACTATTGACATGACTATCTTACCTTTGCACATACCGAGTAACCAGATCACGATTTTCTTGGAGTTTGATCGAGTAGATGGTAGTGAAGTTTATGTTCAGAAAACGCAGTTTCAAGTTTGAATGGATTGTAACAGACACTATCCACAAGCGAAGTTTCTTAAGTTGTTTGTTATGTCTCTATTTATTGTTTAATTTATTTTATTATGGTTATAGTTCTTAAACCTAATTTAATGAGATGTAATTTTGCCTTTTTGAAAAAGGAATCAAAACATTTTAAAAAAGAATAAAGAACAAGGATACTTCAGTGTGGACTAATAAGGCAAAAAGGATCACATTGTCACTAATCAGAGCCAATATGTTAGGTTCTTTTTCTTTTAGTTCTAAAATATATTATGTTTTCTAGGCTTATCCTTATAGGTTGTATGTGTTGCATATTAAGCACAAGCAAGAGAGATAAAGAGTGAAGATCAACTTCAAAAACAAAAATAAGAAGCAGAAGGAGAGAAAGAAAGAGAGAGAGCTAGATGGATGGCATAGAGAAAGAAAGGGAAAATGGAGAGAGAGAGAGAGAGAGAGAGAGAGAGAGAGAGAGAGAGAGAGAGAGAGAGAGAGAGAGAGAGAGAGAGAGATGATTTTTATTTGAAGATTTTGTATGTGTTGCATATTAAGAACAAGCAAGAGAGATAAAGAGTGAAGAGAGAATAGTTTTTTTTTCATGTCTATTATGTTTAGTTTCTTAGAGAATAGGCGATAAAATGTTTATAAAAAAAAATTTGAGTAGATGAATATCATATTGCAGATTATGTTTTGTGTATTTTCAAGCCTTATACTTGATCCTGATTTGTTAGAGGCCGATGATATAAGAATAATATAAAATCGCTTTGTGATGAACATAAAAGAGACTGAAAGCAAGTGTTTTTTTATACCAATATCAATTAGAAAGAACATAATAGACATAAGTATTAATTTAGTATATAAATATATATGACAGAAAGATTAATTAGTCCAATATTGCGGTGGTTGAGATAGATATATTCCAAAATATGTTAATAATTGAGAGTGAAAATCCATTGGCAGAAAGTTTTTCGAGTTCACTTCTGTTCATAGTCATCTATACGAACCCAGCATTGAATCCATTGAGGTTTTAAATATATATATATATATATAATATTTTTGAACCTTATGTTGTATCATATTCTCGAAAGATGATTAGTTTAGCTGGAAGGTTTTCTTAAACAATATATATATATATATATATATTGGAATTTATTTTGGTTCGTAATTAGTATTATATTTTTTACAGAGTTAACTAAAAAAATTGTTTGGTTTAAAAAAATAAATTTTAAACCAAGTTCAATCTGAAACGGTTTTCATTGATTTGGTTTAATTTGGTTTAACCTAATTAAACACACCTGCTATCTCTAAATCAACAACATATATACAAACCCAACAACTTACATTTTGGAAAACCTAAAAGATAATGAATATGATGATGAATAATGATAAGACCAGGAAAAAGAGTAAGAAGAAGACATACATATTTAAGAACAAAATCTAATGATCAAAAAGAATAAGAATAATGAGAAAACGAGGAGGAGGAAAATTAGAAGGCTAAAAAGAAAAAGAAGACATAGACAACAATGACAAAAACTGAGATAAAAATAGAAGATGAGATTGTTGAAAGAAAAAATGGATAACCCATAAAAAGAGAAAGAAGAAGTGAGAGAAAAAAATGAACGAGATTAAATAAAAGAGGAATATGGGAAGACAAATACGATGACTATAATCCCTAAAAATATATAATCTTTTTATTAAATATAATATTTAGTTGTATACCAATGTAAAAGATAAAATTTATATTTCAATGTTTTGATATTTTTCTAATATATTAATATGTTTTTCTTGATTAATAAATTTGAAATAATCAATATGATTTTGTGCACTGCCCTAAGAGGACAAGCTTTATAAAAACAATGAAATAAACATAAATATATAAGATTGATTAATATAATATATAAAGAAGTCTTCCAAATCATTTGGTTTGATATAAATATATAGGTTACTTTTATAAACATATTTTTTGGTAATTTTCTTTCTTTCTCACCTTTTTAGTTTCATTGTAGTGTTTTGAATTATGTATGATTTAATTTTGAAGTAACTAATTTCAAATTTATTATATGGAAATAGTTTATATATGTGATTTTTATCCTTATATCATTTTTGACCATAATATTTCACCCTTATGATGTTAGTTTTTTGTTTGTTTTAGTTTAGAATCATATGTGGAACTGGTTTTTGTTTTTTTGTGAATTATACCAGAGAAAATTTGATCACAATATCTCAATACATTTGGTTTAGTGTGGATGTGCTTTTAAATTTTCTTTTATGATGAAAATAATTCTCCTAAAATATGGCCATTTAGTCAAGTGATTCACTTTATTTTTTTAAAAAATGTATAACATTATTACAACACTTCACTGTTCATTCTATTTCATATTTAAGCTGAAGTTCGTTACAAACACTAGATTTATTTCCGTGTCTGGTCCCGAAGATGGTTTATTGTTGACATTGGCTGACTTTGGAGATGTTTTTGGGGGTCGCATGGATGTCATGTATACTATCGGTAAAAAAATTGTGCAATGAATAATAGAAACCTTTGAGTTAAACAAACATGAAAAAAAGAGTTTTGTAATTTTGTGCTGCTATTTATTAGATCTGATTGGTGTTCTTAAAAACGTTGGTGAGCTCGATATTTTTGATGAGCGTAAAATACAAGATGATTACGTTATTACCCCTTTTGATCTCCAAGATGACTAGTAAGATTACGCTATTATCTATTTTGTCATCATATTAGCAATTCATTGCGATTCTATAGTCTTTTTCTATAGGAAACGTGTAATTGAATGTTGCGCGATGGAAAAATTAGCTGAAGAGTATCCTTTCCAATGGTCTCAAAATCAAGATGGAGAAGTTGTTTGTGTTCTAAGATGGTGGTACATCAATAAACAATATGAAGATAATATGAAAAATACACCAAACTATGTTTGTTGATTTATATGTGTTGTCTTATGACCTTAATTTTTTTCTTCTTTGTATAGGTATTATAAATGTCATTGCAATGAAGAAGTATTGTGAGTTCTATTTTGATAAAGATATTCCTGATGTTTGTCGTTTCCGTGATAGGTAATGACACTATAAACACAATAGATCATTTAGATTACTACTTCTCAGCTCCTTAATCATATCATGAATTTTTATTACAGACTACGATGTGATGAAGAGGTCTCGACTGCAAGCTGTGGTTCGAATGAACAATAAACAAGATATTCTAAGGCATTAATCCTGAATGAGACCACGAATATCCCGTTTGTATTTCAAGAATGCTTCTTGAAATGTGTATTTCATATTAATGTAAGCATGTTTGGTATTTAGACGTATGTATTAATGTTTTCGAAAGTACTGATAAATTCTAATTCATAAATAAAGATATGATATTCAGAATATAATATTATTCAAAACAATGATTAGATATGCATCTTGGCCCCGCGCCACCTAGTTTAAATTTATATGATTACATCTATATAAGTTGATACAGTCGTGCCTGCTCACTTAAAGAAACAACCAAACCCAACAAACAGTTTCATATTGACATTTGGTTGAGTCAACTCAGCTGCATGTGCAAATGAGATATAATCAAGATGAGCGTACATAAATTAATGACAAATTGAGGGAAGATAATAATTAAACAAACACTTTATGTATAACTTGTGAACACTTGCCATTTCAAACTTCAAATGGATCATTTCTCATTAGTAATCAAAATGTATTGTACTTTTGTAATTGAAGTACTTGTACCATAAACATGGTGTGTTGTGGGAGCACGATCAAAAAACTTCTTAACCATTTCAAACTTATAATTCATACATTTTCGAATTTCCTATATTTACAAGTGTATATAGACTAGTTCAGCAGCTAAACTCATCTATAAATTCAGCTCAATGTCTCATATGTTTATTACCTCTCGACTAAAACCATACTCAAGAAAGAAAAACACTTCTCTTCTTCAAGAAACCACCTCAGTTAATAACATATTTATGGCAATGAAGAGTCTCACCTTTCTTGCGATTCTATCTATCTTGGCTTTGACACTTCCATCAGCTATTGCTTCTGACCACCTTCAAGACTTTTGTATTGGTGTCAACAGCCCAGCAAATGGCGGTATGTACATGTTGATTTCCTCACATATTCCATTGATTTCTCATTTCTTATACTAATGTTTTGTATCATTTGGTTACTATGTTCAGTTTTTGTGAACGGAAAGTTCTGCAAGGACCCAAAGTTCGCGACTGCAGATGACTTCTTTTTCGCAGGGCTTAACAAGCCAAGAGCCGTCACTAATGCGGTCGGATCAAATGTCACAGCCGTCAATGTTAACAATCTTCCGGGTTTAAACACTCTTGGAATCTCACTTGTCCGTATAGACTATGGAGTGAACGGACAGAACCCTCCTCACACACACCCACGTGCCACAGAAATCTTGGTTGTGGGAGAAGGGACACTTTTAGTAGGGTTTGTCACATCTAACGGAGATGGAAACCGTCTCTTCACAAAAACACTCAACACGGGTGATGTATTTGTGTTTCCTGAAGGACTCATCCATTTCCAAGCCAATGTGGGAAAATCTCCAGCGGTTGCATTCGCTGCATTGAGCAGCCAAAACCCTGGTGTTGTCACTATTGCCAACACCGTGTTTGGATCTAACCCACCGATAAACCACAATGTTCTTGCTAGGGCATTCCAGTTGGATCCTAAAGTTGTCATGGATCTACAGAACAAGTTCTGATTCATGATATAACAAAACTTGTGTTTTGGAATTTTTCTTTTGTTTTTCCTTTATTCGTCTAAATAAGGGTCGTGTATTGTTGGTCGTTGTTTTTACCTTCAACTTTCACAATGAATTAATTGTTTTTTATTTCATCAACAATGAAACACATTCGTGATAGAGGATCTGTGGTAATCCAACCCGGTAAACCGTACCGCGGCTGTGTCCCACTACATCCTCTAAGCCCGTTTCTATACTTAGCCATATTTTTGAACTTTTTCTTCTTTATTTTTCTAAGTCTTTCTTATCATTACACAGCGGAATATAAAGCAACTCATTTCATTTATTCAACTTTCAAAAACACTTAAACAAGATTCGGGGTTCCACATAAATAGAAGCACAAGGTTCGCTAAAGATTACAACTGATCATCTAGCAACCTAACGATCAAACACCAAAGCCATAAGACTCTAAACACAAGTCTTAAATCATAAAATACCCAATCCCCGATCCATCCATGTCCATCACTGCCGCCTGGTCTCGCCCCTTTACTGCTTAGTACCTGCACACTCAAGATGAGAGGCATAAGTATTTCATAAATACTTAGTGAGTACGGTCCTCCCGTAATACCTGGTCAGTACCAAACACGCAGTCATACTTTCGGATTCAACATTCCACACAATCAATTCGCAATAGACATCACAATATCAAACGGCCATGATCATCTAGCCTAACCAACCAAGATCAATCCCTTTTTAAGACCCATGTCTACTTCAGCGAGAATCCCACATCCCCTAAGCTAGTACATGATCCGGATTACCCTGAGGTTAGCTAAACATCATATATGCCACGGTAAACACCACAATATATCACAACACAAGGATTGCTTATCAATTCCAAACACATAACATGAAAATCACACAATCACATGTAAAACACTCAACCCTAGCAATCCTACGGTCCTAGACCCAACACAGTCACGCACTCACCTTAGACAAGGCTGGAAACAGATTGGTCAGAAGAAATCCTGATGAAAACCGCACCAAAACGAAGATATCCGATCTCCCTAAGAATCTCTCGGCTCACGGTACGATCCGATCCTTATCCCCTTGGCTATCTCTTGATCCGTTCACCTTTCTTCGAGCCAAACTCTGTTTTCCCTCAGAAACCTCACAAAACAAGGCTATTAGCTCGAGGTTATCCGATGAAAACTCAACACTTAGGGAAATATCTGATCGCTTACCAGTTTATCTCGGCGATGGTCGGATTTGCTCGGCGATAACCTGATCTCTCTCGGATGTCCTCGGGATAAACTGTTTTTCTTAGGGTTTTCTCTCGACTATTCTCTTTCTTTATTTTATTGCTCTCGAATAAACACAACTCTCCCGAGAAAAGTCTCAAAATCCCTTAAATACTCACAAAACCCTAGGTAACCCGGACTTATCCGACGTTTTCCCGGTTCCAGTAAGTTTTACTCCGGTCCGATTCGATTCTCTCGGCTATTCCCTGTACCGGCTCGACAATTCCTTCGATAAACCCCAAAATAGCCGACCAAACACTTGGCCCACGGCCCAAATCCCTTCCCACTCGGATAAACCGCCCTTATCCGAGGTGTTTTCCATTTTTCACCCGGATATTGCTATTTCTCTCGGACAACTTGTCCCACCTCGGCTAATCCTCTATTTCTCTCGGAGGTTTCCTATTCCCCCTCGGAGACAGTTCACTGACACTCGGACTAACCTCCCAGACTCTCGGATATATCCCACTGCACTCGGATAAATCCCATTTCCCTCGGACTGGACCCTGTTTCCCTCGGATATGGTCCATCCGGTTCGGCTATCCAGCCCATACCCGACTATTTCCTCGGTCATCGCCCGACCATAGTCCAAACCTCTATTTCCCAGCCAGTATCCGACCCTTGGCTCGGTCATTCCTCGGACAACACCCTGTCCGGTACGATCATTCCACATTTTCTCGGATACGGATGCTACATGATCTCTAGCCAAACTATTAATTTTTTTTGTTAGCATCTTTACGATGGAAATATAATGTAGTAAACAAGTTTCCTAAACAAAAGAACAAAACAAATTAACTAAGTTTACAAAGTTTCATTGTAAAACTTAGTAACGACTAACGAAACCATTTGTAAGAAACTTTGGAAATGAATACATTTAGTGTGACATGGCTAATTTGGTAGATAACCAAATGAGTCAATACAGGCAAAACAATGTGTTGGAAGCAAAACCGCTATTTGTTTTTTTTAACAATTCTGTTTCTCACTCTTTTTCATCAATGTCTCGCTAGAGCATTCAAAAGGTCACAAGTTGATCTTACAGTGTATTCACAGACTAGACAAGCTACCAGAGCAAAGGCGCAAAACTACAATTAAGTTGAGGGTTTTTTCTTCTGTGGGTGTAATTTAAACAAAAATGTGATATTATGTAAAATATCGTATTATAGAATAAAATAACATAGGGGTTGAATAGTATGTACTTTACTTTTTTAAGTTTTGAAAACGTGATTCCATTAAATGTATATCAATAATTATATTAAGCACTGAATGATAAAAATTAAAAATTAACATGCTATTTTACAATTCATCCAGCACGTTTTAAATTTATAACTAGTTTAGAGAAAAATCTATTCATCTAATAGATACTAACTTTTTGATCACCGGCCAATCAGAGTGGGTTTTGCTCTTGAAGGAGATGGTCCAAACAGGGGAAGATTTTATTTTGACAAGAGAATGGCTCAGAGAGAATGCATTGAAATTTGAAGACATCATCAGGATGGGTTGGGATGGATTTTAGGAGGATGAGAATGTGCCTATAATGGATCACATCGGACGTTGTTGTACAGAACTCTCCAAATGGAGAAAAACTGCCATCCTCAACTCCCAAGATCGTATAATGAGCTTAAGGCATACTCTGGAACAAGAAGTGGGAAAGGAGTTTCCAAATAAAATGCTAATGCAAAACCTGAAACGGGATTTGGTTGAAGCTTATAGAGATGAAGAGATGTTTTGGCAACAACGGAACAAGGAGCAATGACTGAAATTGGGGGATATGAATACATCATATTTTCACAATTTTGTGAAGGGAAAGAAAACCAAAAATCATATTCTGATGCTCATCGATGCTCTTGGTAGAGAACAGTTTCATGAGGGATCTAAAGGGAATATTGTTGTCGACTACTTCCATGACTTATTTCTCAGCTCAAACCCCTTTGATTTGGAATCACTCTTTGATGGTTTTAACTCAAGAGTATCAACAGAGATGAATCAGATCCTAATAGAAACAGTCTATGTGGAAGAGATTAAATAGGTTGTGTTCAATATCAAAGGTAGCAGTGCCTCGGGTGAAGACGGCCTCACATTGTGGGTCCTGCCATAATCAAGGAGGTTCAAACTTTTTTTTGTTTTAGCGATTATCCCGGCTGGATGGAATCATATTCAGTTATGTATGTTGCCGAAGATACCAAATCCTACAAAGATGCAGGATATGAGACCAATCAGCTTGTGTTCAGTTCAGTATAAGATAATTTCCAAGATCTTATGCGACCGCCTTAAAATCATTTTACCAGATATTATATCAGACACTCAGGGAGCGTTTCTATCTGGAAGGCTCATCTCTGACAACATCATTATTGCTCATGAAATGATATACGCCTTAAGGAAAAATCCCCGAGTGGATAAGGATTTTATGGCAATTAAGACGGATATGTCTAAGGCCTACAATAGAGTGGAATGGTGTTTCTTGGAGACACTATTGGAAAAGATGGGGTTTGCGCATGTATGGATTAAATGGGTTATGACTTGTGTAAGTACGGTCACATATTTCATATTCCTCAATGGCAGAACACACAACTTTATTAGGCCAGAGTGAGGCATTAGATAAGGTGATCCTTTGTCTCCATTTCTATTCATACTATGTGCTGAGGCTCTTGTGAGTTGTCTCAACCATTCCGAAACCCAAGGACGCTTTCATGGCATTAGTATTGCTGCGAATGGTCCTGCAATGCATCACTTGCTGTTTGCCGATGATAGTCTCCTCATTTGTAAGGCATCCACTTCTGAAGCCAAAGAAATTAATAGATGCTTGGAACTTTTTGGAGAGGCCTCAGGTTAGATTATCAACATAGAGAAATCATTCATTATCTCCGGTTCAAAAGTGGTAGAAACCATTAAAGATGGAATTAAATTTTATTTGGGAATAAATAAAGAGGGTGGAGAGGGGACCTATCTGGGGTTGCCATAATGTTTCAGTGGATCCAATATTAAGCTATTAAAATTCATCCAGGAAAAACTGAAAAACAGAGTGCAAAATTGATATGCTCAAGCCTTTTCTCCATGAGGTAAAGAGATAATGCTCATAGTCGTAGGCCTTGCTTTACCAATGTTTGCTATGTCATATTTCAAACTCTCAAAAAAATTATGTGAAAAACTTACAAGCATCATGATATAATTATGGTGGAGTAGTGGCAGCAATCCACACAAGATATTATGTTCATGATATCAGCCGGTTTAATCAAGCGCTTCTATGCAAACAGGCGTGGTAAATCTGGGACAAACATGAATCTCTACTCTCGAGAATTCTAAAACAAAGATACTTCCAGAACTCTTCCATGCTTGAAGCGGGTGTAGGCAACAGACCTTCTTATGCTCGGAGGAGCATCATTCACGGTCTACAACTACTGAAACAAGGAATGGTGACTTGGATTGGTGATGGTAGGGACACAAACGTATGGGCAACAAATTGGTTAATGGATAGATTACCAAGACCTCCTTTGTATAGGCAGGATAGCATCATTGACTTAACCCTCAGAGTTTCAGATCTCTTGGATGTTCAACCGGGGAGATGGGATATCATGAGTCTACGCCAAAGCTTTGAACCGGACGACGTGGAATGGATCTTGAAAATAAAACTTTCTTTGGACAGGGCAGACAAGCTAGTGTGAGGATTCTCCAAAGATGGTCAATATACAACAAAAAGCGGATAGAAACTCCTTGATGATCAATTAGCTCTACAACTACCTCAAGGTCCGATCATGCCACCTTTGGAGAAGAGGTTATGGGCCAAACTGTGGAAGATTAATTTCACTCCTAAACTCAAAAAATTCCTCTAGAAAGCCTTATCTGGGGCCTTAGCCATGAAAGAAAGACTACAATCACGTCAAATCCCAGTTGATGGCACGTGTAGTAAATGTGGAGAAGGAATGGAAACAATTTGCCATACCCTTTTTGAATGCAGGTTGGCCAAAAATGTATGGCAACTGTCCAGTTTTCCTATGCTAGTCTCCAGTTTCTCTCCGACTTTGGTGTTCTTAAATATGTACCACTTCCTCAATGCCAGCAGGAAAGAAGAGCCAACAGCAGGAATCTGCCTGGCCTTCCCATGTATATTGTGGCATCTCTGCAAATCCCGTAACTGTCTTGTCTTTAAACAGATACATACACCACCGTGAGAGATTGTCTCCAAGGCTCTCGACGAGGCTGATGGATGGCTAAGTATAAAAAGCATATGTAAAACAAGTGTGACAGATCCTCTGTCAACCCTGACGGGTCAAGACAAAGGGGTTAAACCTCCAACCCGTACGCTTAAATGCAACATTAGGGTTTTATGGGTTCTGCCGAACAGAAACTGTGGTGTATCGTGGATAGTGAGAGATCAAAATGGAGATACTTTGTATCATAGTAGATGGTCCTACTCTACAATTACAACATCATGTGCAACGGCTTTGTTGAGTCTCTTATGGGCTGTGGAATCACTAGCAACCATGAATCAATTAAATGTCATCCTGGAATCATCATGTGAGCAACTACAAGAGGTAATGCTGAACCCACAACTCTTTCCACAACACCATGATGTGATATCACAAATATTCATACATTTGAATATTTTGGGAATCTGGAGTATGAATCATATTAACAAGCAAAACAATCGAGTGGCTGAAGAAATTGCGGTCAGTGTAACGATAGACCACATGTATCAATCGTACATCTCCAACAGGGGACCCTCTTGGCTTCATCAAGTACTTGTCTCCGAAGCTACAGCCACTCATTAAGTTTGCAATCTATTTGTCATTATCATGCATAGGAAGACCTTCCTCACCACGCTTGATGGATGGAACCACTATGCCTTTCCTAATCTATGTCTTGTTTCTTTGGCTTTTAAGCTCTGTTTTGATGCCTACTGGCATCTTTTTCTGTATCTGAATACTCTCCAATGAAGAAACCAGTGTTAAAAAAAATGATTCTACTAGCTATTAAGTTGACATACTAATCAAACCCATCATTTATTTTTGTAAACATGCACATAAATCATGGTATTTTACAGAACATGGCAGTACAAATTAACCGACATCGATGATACCATTACAATTTTTCCATCTGTCAAATTTGCAAATAAATGATCAAATTATGGTTATTTACTGATACTACATTTTTTTCAATAATAATTAACAAGTGTCTTAAAATGCAAATGCAAAGGCAGAAATAACGATGGAACAGAAAGAGAGAGCTGTAGTAAATCCATCAGTAATTGTAAACTAGTATGGAGAATCATTTGGAAACGAATAATGTGACAGCGCAAATTTGTTACAAACACCTTATTTCAACATAAGAACGTGGAAACTACCCATAAAACATATCTAAAAAAATAGTCAGTGAATGAGAACAACAAAATTATGTCAAAGAAAACGAACAATTCTATGAGATGGCAGGGTCACACCATGTGATTAAACTATATTTATATATATATTCTATCTTGTATGATTTGAACCCAAAAAAAAAAAAAAAAAATCTTCTATCTTCTCAATGAACTATTTGGAAAAACAGCACGCCTAAGATGAATGGACAATTTAGGGTTGCGATGACGTGGGTGCAGAATCGATGTGTTTAAGTTTATGTGTCAAACATATAATATTTCTCAACGAAGTTAGAAACCTGGTCTCTTCCAATTTTCGACATCGATTTAGACTAACATAATGAGTTGATACAGTCGTGGCTTGTTGCTTAAGGAATAATAAACCAAACCAACAAATCCACATTGACATTTGTCCGAGTCAACTCAATAGAATCTTTATCCAAACAAGCACGTATAAATTCATAACAAGTTGAGAAAATAGAATCATTAAACAAAAACATGCCCGTTCAAAAGTCAAGTGCATCATTTAGAATAATGTTTTTAAAAGTTATATTATATGTTTCTGTGCAATAGATATATTACCACCATAAACATGGGTGTTAAGAAATGAGTGAGCAAACTTTAAACATATTTTTAGCCATTTCAAACTTCTAGTTCAGACATCGTCGCACTTTTGGATTTACAAGTGTATATGGGCGGATCTAGAAATTTATTTGACTAAAGGCAAAATTTAATAATTAAAAATAAACTTATTTAACAATATTATATTTTTAATCCAGCTTTAAATATATTACACAAATTTATATAATTAGATCAATAATTTTTTTTGTTATGCATTAGGAGATGTAAATACTGTTTTATCAATATTATATATACTAGGTATTTTATCTGCGCTGCGGGATATTTTTCTAGATTTTGTATATATTTTTAATATAATAAAATTATTTCTATAATATAATGAGTATTATATTTATTTTTTATTAGTCTAAGTTATGTATTTATATGTTTTAAATCTGAATAAACATAATATATCATTCATTTTTTTATTTTTTAAAATTATAATCTACTATCAAATTTGTTTAACTAATTATCTATAAATGTATATGTAAGAATAAAACAATACATTTTTGAATACCTTCATGCTAATGGTAAATGTAATTTATTTTCTCTACTAAATTGCTACTTGATCCTCTTTTGAAATTATATACAGAAAATTGCCATTTAAAAACAAATATTAATTAATATAATTATTTTAAAAAATTAAAAAATTTATTTATTTATCAAATATTTATTATAAACATATGTTTCTAAAACTACCAAACTATAATCAATAATATTATATCAAAACCATTACTATTGCTTTAAAACTAAATAGAAAGTTCTATTTGAACTGTTGAAATATCAATTTAGTTGAAGTTAAATAATTCAATTTTGGTTACTATAAACATACTGTAATTTGAAAATTTAGCACAGATAAATTTTATCTTTTTACAAAAACCGAGAAATTGCATTTCCCGACAAAACAATTTTTTTTATTTTTCCACAAAACTGAGAAATCGCTTACTCCCGCCAAAACAAAAAAAATTATTTTCTCGTCAAACCTGAAATTTCATTTTCCTACCAAAACAAAGAAATTACATTTTTCTTCAAAAATCAAAAAATCACATTTTTCCGCGAAAACTTGTGTTTTCTCGTCAAAACAGAGAAATTAAATTTTTTTACCAAAACCAAAAAAATTCATCTTCTTGCAAAAACCAAAATAGTATTTTCCCGTCAAAACCAAAAAAAAATATTTTCCCGCAAAAATCGAAAAATCGTGTATTCCCACCAAAACAAGAAAAAAAATATTTTTCTCGTCAAATCAAGAATCACGCCTTCCTACCAAAACCGATAAACTATAATTTCCTGTGAAAACCAAAAGTTACATTATCTTCTAAGAAATTACGTTTCCTGCGAAAACTAAAAAATCATATTTTCTCTCGAAACCCAAAAAATCACATTATATGTCAAAAACTAAAAATTTGTAATTCTCATCAGAACCAAGAAATTGTTTATTCCCACCAAAATCGAGAAATTTTGTTTTTCTAGTAACCCTAGAAATTGCATCTTCTGCCAAAATTGTCAAATTACAATTTCTCGCGAAAACTAAGAAATCACATTTTCTCGTGAAAATCAAGAAATTACATTATCCATCAAAAGCCGGAAAATTGCATTTTCTATTAAAACTGAGAAATCGTATTTTTCGTCAAAATTGAAAAGTTGCATTTCCCTCGTATTTTCTCGTCAAAATCAAATTTTTTCTTTCTCGCCAAACCCAAAAATTCACTTTTTCTGTCATAACCGAGAAATTATGTTTTCCTATCAAAACTGAAAATCACATTTTTCTACCAAAACCAAGAAATTCTCTATTCCCGCCAAACCCAAGAAAATTTGTTCTCGGTAACCACTGGAAATGCGAATCTCCAAGCTGTGGTGGTCTGAGTTTCTCCTCATTTGCTTTCGAATTCCTTTTTTTTTTGTAAACTTTGAGCTTTTTAATTGGTTAGCGAAATAGTAAACTGATTTTATTAGTGTGTTAATACTATGTATTATTGTTATATTTTTATTGTTTCAAATTTTTACTGATGTGTGAGCTTTTTATAACATAACCCTTTTTGCATTGTTGTTATGGAAGCATAGTTGATGATGAGTCTACACTTTCTTCAATCATATACGTCTCTATTAAGCAAACACATAATTAGAAATTTTAAATTTTTTTGCTGTTATTTATTATTTGAGTTTCGGTTTGGCAAAAATATAAAAAAAAGATTTAATTTTTTTTTTATTTGTTGTTATTGATTATCTGGATTTGGGTTTCGCAAAAAAAAATAAAACAATTCTTTTTGGTGTTATTTATTATTTGGGCTTGGACTTTGCCAAAAAATAAAACTAAAATTAACAATAAAAAATATTTGGGTTTTTATGGGTTTAAAATTAAAAGTTAAAATAAATTGATGACTTGTATTAATGAAATATTTTTATTGATATTTTTTTTTGTTGAAGTGTCATCTCCTAAAAACTTAAAAATGCTGATGTGTCAAACTATGGAAAGACACTTGTGTAATTGTTGTGTTGATATAATTTAATAATATTTGAAATACAAAAAACCGTTTAAATTTAAAAAAGATAATTGATGATAAAAAAAAGCAGTTAGTATTTAAATAAATCAGTTATGTTTTCCATATTAGGTTTTTTTACTTTAAACTTAAAAAAAAAAGAATTTTTTTGTCTAATTATTTGGTAATATTGTGGTTTGAAAAGGAATGGAGGAAAACAAGATTTTATTGTGGAGGCACTAACTTAATGTTTAAAGAAGTTACATTAATTATTCAATTTTGACTGGGTGCAAGTCCATTTGCCTTAACTAGAACCGCCCATGAATGTATATAATGTACAGTACATATATGTATAGCCTAAACATAGTCTATACACAAGTTGATTAGTCTATATGGACTGGTTCAACACCTAAAAGCATCTATAAATTGAGCTCTATAACACATGCTTTCTTACACCTCCAATAAAAGAAAAAAACTTTTCCTTTCATCGAAATAAAGTGAACATATGGCCATGAAGAGCGTCTCCGTTCTCGCAATTCTATCTCTCTTGGCATTAACACTTCCATTAGCCATTGCTTCTGACCCAAGCCCTCTCCAAGACTTCTGCGTCGGCATCAATACCCCAGCAGATGGTGGTACGTACATGATCATGACTCCATAATCATTTTTACGCTCATCTTTTAATTTCTCATTGTTTGATTTTTGGTTTTGTATTGATTTTTCATTAATTATTTGGATTATCAGTATTTGTGAATGGAAAGTTCTGTAAATCCAAAGCTCGTCACAGCGGATGACTTCTTCATGTCGGGGCTTCAAAATCCAAGACCCGTAGCTAACGCGGTTGGGTCGAATGTGACAGCAGTTAATGTCAACAACATTCCAGGGCTAAACACCCTTGGAATCTCACTTGTCCGTATAGACTATGGAGTGGATGGTCAGAACCCACCTCACACCCACCCACGTGCCACTGAGATCTTGTATGTTGGGGTTGGTACACTTTTTGTTGGGTTTGTCACATCCAACGGAGATGGAAACCGTCTCTTCACAAAAACACTCAACGAGGGTGATGTATTTGTGTTTCCGGAAGGACTCATCCATTTCTAAGCCAATGTGGGAAAATTTCCAGCGGTTGCATTCGCTGCTTTGAGCAGCCAAAATCCAGGTGTTGTCACTATTGCTAACACTTTGTTTGGGTCTAAGCCATTGATAAACCCAAATGTTCTTGCAAGAGCATTCCAGTTGGATCCTAGGGTGATTGTGGATCTACAAACCAAGTTCCAACCAAAAACTTAAAAAATATTGTGCTTTGAATTGTTTCAATATTTTGTGTACCTTCTTCCATTTGAATAAGGATCTTGTATTATCCGTTGATCAATAACGCGTGACATGATATTAATTTCTGTTTTTCCCTTTTAAACATTTTCAATGAATTAAGTTTTTATTATCTTCTTCTCAACAAAGTTAATGCTTACAAAAAAAAAGAAGTTAATGCTTACAAAGTTATTTTGATAGTTAGACCGATTAGAAAACCGGATCCGACCATTTGTAACCTGAAAACTGGTAAACTAATGAACCAAATAATACAATGTTATATATAATTTTTATTTTATTGTTACATTTTTAATTCTGTTTTTATTTTTAATCAAATTTCTGTAACTCACATGTAAATCAAGTTAAAGTCTATATTTTTAAGTTTTACTTCCCATTAATTTTGTAATTTAATTTTGTTTCATGATGATTTCAATTGGAAATTTATCATCCTTATAAAAAAAATAGCTGCATATGTATTATTTTTGAAATATCATCAAACTCAATTGACGGTTGACTTAAAAGCTTTTCCTGTTCATTTTAAAAACATTGCAAAATGGCAAGAAAATGGTTTTCAACTCTTTTTCAACCTGTTCACTTACGATTAATCATATGGCTAAGTGGTCTTAACTCAATTACACCATGCTTGTCTAACTCGTTCGACAAACCCTCTAAACCGATTTATTTTAGCCAGCTACTAACTATAACAACAATTAGGACCTTTGCAATATATGTTAAAATAGAAACAATTTAAGAGATGATATGTTTAATGATGTTTAGTTGGAGGCCTCCTTTGCACTTTTATTCTTTAGATTAGGGAAATTTGATTAAGCTCAATCCTAGAACATGAAATATTCAAATATGATTTTGTGAACGCTCGGACCACTCCTACTATTGAGTATCCACACCTGTTTTTGGGCCCATAGACCCTACCGATATTCGACAACTAGTGTGTTAGTTGAGAGGCTCGAAAGTCATGAAATACTCACTTTGCAATCACCACATAATTTCTCTCTGTATTTTATCATTATTTACACAATTTGGTAAATCACTAATATAACTATACTAAGTAATAACCCACATCCTGTGCGGGATGAAATAATAATTATTTATTTAATATAGTATAATTTTAAAATTATATAACAAAATATAATTGATTTTATATGAGTTTTTTATAACATTATGTTGTAATATTGACAAAATAATTTTTTTATTTTATAAAATATAGGGTAATTTAATTATAATGTAAATTTGTTTTAAATTTTAAATAAATATGCATAATTTGGATAAAAATAGAAAGTCGCTCTTTATATTTTCTATAACCTATGATTAATAACATGATCTTAAAATTCAAAAAAAAAATAGAAGGAGTATATTTTGACTAAACTATTAAGTATCTAATGCGTTATGATAATAATAAAAATTTTATACTACTTCCTCTGTTTCATAATATTAGTTTTTAAAGATTTTGTTTTGTTTCACAATATAGTTGTTTTCATTTTTTTTACTACTTTTTATGAATACTTTGTGACCGATTATATTTTTCAGTTTTTCATAATTAGTTGAATTATATACATTTTATATACTAAATGATTACGTTTTTAAAAGAAAAAATGATTTTTAATCTTTGTGCTTTGATGCAAAACAACGTATATTTTGAAATAGAGAGTATTAAAATTATAAAAATAAAATTTGATTATAAGATTTTATAATCGATTTTAATATTTTTTATGCGAATGTAAATGCATATTTAGATTAACCCGCAAAAACTATAGTCATAAGAATATTAACTTTTAAGAAAAGAAAATTACTGTGAAATTAATTTTAAATACTAAATATACATAAGGATTATATAAAAATAGATTATATATATATAGAGTTTTTAATAAATTATCTAAAATTGTATATAACTGAGTCAATATTTATACATTCATAACTTTTTGATTCAATAAAAATATTTTTAATATCAAAAAGTTTAATAAAATTATTATATAATATCCTCACAAAAATATTTTAATCTTTCACCAAGTTATTTTGTTGTATAAATTAAAACTTTATGATAATTTTTAATCAAATAAAATATTTATAATATTATATCCTATTAACATATTCAACTGTTTTTTATAGTTCAACTTTTTATTAATATTTTAAACTTATTATAAAGTTTAAATATTTATATTATTTAGTTAATTTATATGGATCTAAAACCATATGAAACCAAAATAATTATAATAATAATATCTATTAGATTAAGCTTTCTGTTTTTTTTTATCATTTATGTATTTTTATATTGATTTATGAATCATCTATCTACACATCCTTATTTTCTATTTTAGTTTTTTTAAAATATACTTTTATTTATTAATCATTTGAGTAATTTATATTTGTTTTCTGAAATTTGAATTATAACAATATAAATATTTTACTATATAAATTTTGTGATGATTTATTTTTCTATAAAAATAAGAGATAAAATATAGTATTTAGATAAATAATTAATATGATATATTTCTGGTAAGAAATGGAAAAGAGAATATCTTCATGAATCATCATCAATATAATTGATATAAACTAATGTATAACCAAATTAATGTGAGTGGCATAATATGTAATTAATCTAGTAACATAAGTCTATTTTTATAACTTGCTGAAAATGATTCTGGTGATGACATATCAGCCAAATGGCACCACTGTAATATTTTACAAAATTAATGTTATTTTTTAAAAATGCTTCTCTTTTAATATATAGGAGTAATATTTTACAAAATTAAGGTAATAACTCGCACCTGTGCGGGATGAAATAATAATTATTTATTTATTATAGTATAATTTTAAAATCATATAACAAGATATAATTGATTTTATATGAGTTGTTTATAACATTATGTTGTAATATTGACAAAATATTTTTTTGTTTATTTTATGAAATATAGGGTAATTTAATTATAATGAAAATTTGTTTTAAAATTTAAATAAATATGCACAATCTGGATAGAAATAGGAAGTCGCTCTTTATATTTTCTATAACCCATGTTGAATAACATGATCTTAAAATTCAAAAATAATAGTTGGAGTATATTTTGATTAAATTATTAAGTATCTAATGCGTTATGATAATAATAAAAAGTTTTTACTATTTCTTTTGTTTCATAATATTAATTTTTTTAAAGGTTTTGTTTTGTTTCACAATATAGTTGTTTTCATTTTTTTACTACTTTTTATGAATACTATGTGACCGATTATATTTTTCAGTTTTTCATAATTAGTTGAATTATATACATTTTATATACTAAATGATTACTTTTTTAAAATAAAAGTTGCTTTTTAATCTTTGTGCTTTGATGCAAAACAACTTATATTTTGAAATAGAGAGTATTAAAAATTATAAAAATAAAATTTGATTATAAGATTTTATAATCGATTTTAATATTTTTTATACGAATATAAATGCATATTTAGATTAACCCACAAAAACTATATTCATAAGAATATTAACTTTTAAGAAAAAAAAATTACTGTGAAATTGATTTTAAATACTAAATATATATAAGGACTATATAAAAATAGATTATATTTTTTTAATGAATTATCTAAAATTGTATATAGCTGATTCAATATTTATACATTCTTAACTTTTTGATTAAATAAACATATTTTTAATATCAAAAAGTTTAATAAAAGTATTATATAATATCCTCACAAAAATATTTTAATTTTTTACCAAGTTACTTTGTTGTATAAATTAAAAGTTTATGATATTTTTAATCAAATATTTTAAAATTATATTCTATTAACATATTCAACTATTTTTTTATAGTTCAACTTTTTATTAATATTTTGTACTTATTATAAAGTTTAAATATTTATATTATTTAGTTAATTTATATGGCTCTAAAACCATAAGAAACCAAAATAATTATAAAAATAATTTATATTAGATTAAGCTTCCTGTTTTTTTATCATTTATGTATTTTTATATTGATTTATGAATCATCTACCTACACATTCTTATTTTCAATTTTAGTCTTTTAAAACATACTTTTATTTATTAATCATTTGAGTAATTTATATTTGTTTTATGAAATTTGAATTATAACACTGAAAATATTTTACTATATGAATGATGTGATGATTTATTTTTCTATAAAAATAAGAGATAAAATATAGTATTTAAATAAATAATTAATATGATATATTTTTGGTAAGAAATAGAAAAGAGAATATTTTCATGAATCATAATCAATATAATTGATATAAAATAATGTATAACCAAATTAATGTGAGTGGCATAATATGTAATTAATCTAGTAACATAAGTTTATTTTTATAACTTTGCTGAAAATGATTCTGATGATGACACATCAGCAAAATGGCTCCACTGTAATATTTTACAAAATTAAGGTTATTTTTTTAAACTACGTCTCTTTTAATATATAGGGGATTCCAGCTCAAACACCTTTAATTATGGTGTTCTCTCGGGACCAGTAGCTGAAAAGAAATGCATTTTGATAACATAGGTAACCAAATCAATTCTCTTAAGCTTTTCCACATATACGTTCATATTTTTTTGAAATTAGAATGCTACAAATTTACCAATTCATGTGGTGCAAATCAATTTTGTTAATCATCTGAAAATGTAGAACTCCCTTCTGATAAAAATAAAGCGTTGAAACATTGAATAATTCCCTCCCCCAAACAATTCTCCTATCTTATAGACATAGGCTCCTACGAAAAGTAATTAAGCGGTGACTTCCCCCCGAATTGAAAGAATCATCATATAATATATAAAAGTTGATGGCATAGTGCACTAAGGGCATCCACATGAGATTATAAAATTCGATCTGATTGGTCCACATCAGCATATTCATTAAATAAAAAATGCTAAGTATGATTAGGACAGAAAAACTTCATTTAACTGGTCCACATCAGTTTTTAAATCAAACCAAAAATTATTAAGTATAATTAAAACATTGAAAGTTAATTTACCAAATTATGTCCAACAAAAAAAGTAAATTCAATCTCATTGATCTAAATCAACATATTTATTAAATCAGAAAATGTTAATATGGTTTAAAATTTTAAAAGTTAAATAAAAAAAATTAACAATTAACAATACATATATAAAAAGTAACCATTATCAATTATAAATTTTTAAAAATCTACAACAACTTGTTTTAACAATTAAAACAATGAAAACTAAATAAAAATATAACATAAAACTTTTGGAAGACATGATGGAGAAGGAAAAAATGGTTTTGCATAATCATTACAGTTTCCTAACAAAATTAAATGCTAATCAACATGAATCATGGATTATATATACAGTGGTACACAACGTCAATAAGACTTTCAGTAAAAAAACTAAATATTTGAACACATAAACCTTCAAGAAAAAAGAACTATAGAACTTCTATGGAAAACAGAAAATAATACCAAAATCTTAGCAAGATTATATTTCTCTAAATCAAATGTATATGTACATCAAATTTGGATAATTCGATAGGTGTCATTGTTATTATTTTACATAATAGTTTTTTAAAAATTTATAAATAAAAATAGGATAAATTACATATTATATATTAAATTCTCTTATATAAATGAAAATTTCTATATATATATAATTTTTAAAATTAATAAATCAAAATATTAATACAGACTTGCACGTAACGCGAGTTATATTCATGTGATATTGAAAAGTCGAATCTCCAAAACCAACATACTCCGATCCTTTTCTTAATGTTTTCATCTATTATTTTTAGTTAATGACATTATTTGGTAAATATCAAAATAGTAGAGTTGCTGGAAGGAGAAAACTAGTAAATTGAATAAATCAAAACATCTATACTAAATGAAAGCAATTGTTTGGGGCTCCTAAAGCCATTCACATCAGCAAAAAAAGACCTCTTTTTAATCATACCACATCAGCAGAGTTCTAATAAAAAGAATTCTTTAATATATTTATAACATACTTAAAATTAAATAGTATTTAATCAATAATAATAATAATATTTGAATATTGATTAAATTATATATATTGTAGTAACAAAAAATGTATGACATATAACTTGATTTTAACAAAAAGAAAATATATTATATATATAATATTTTAAATCTTTACAACTCAAATTAATAATAATCACATGTTTAAACTAAAAATCAATAAGATATAATGTTATCTATACTAAATGAAAGGGATTGTTTGAGGCTTCTAAAGCCATCCACATCAGCAAAAACAAAATCTCTATAATCATGCCACATCAGTAAATCTCTAATAAAAATAATTTTTAGTATATTAATAACATACTTCAAATTAAATAGTATTTAATCAACAATAATAGTAACATTTGAATATTAGTTAAATTGTATGTACTATAGTAGCAAAACATATGAAATATAACTTGATTTTAACAAAAAGAAAAATATATTATATATAATATTTTAAATTTTTACAACTCAAATAAATAATAATCACATGTTTAAACTAAAAATCAATAAGATATAATATTATTAGGTATTAAGCTTGTCCACACAATAATTAAAAACATCAAATATGTATGATTATGTACATACTATTCCTTTATTTTTGGCTAAATACATTTAGACATAAATTAAATTATTTACAGTATAGTATGAATCATCGTTATAGTTATGCGTATGTAAAAATAAACTTGCATAATTTTATATTAAACATTAATATATTACACTTTCATATTTAAAATAGTATATATATTTTTATATAAAAGAAAATGTCATAAAAACTTATCTAACCATCAATATCAACAAAATAAAAAGAAATTCTAACAAACCCAACATGTAAGAAAAACTAATATGGTTTTTTTTGGGTTAAGAAACTCTTTTAAATATAATATAATATATATTATTATTTTAATTATAAAAATTCACCAAAATATATATGTAGAGTAAGAAAAATATATAAGTTTAATTATAAGCAAATGCAAATGAACCTTACACATTTTGAGTTTTGAGAAACTCGAAATATTTTATTTAATATAATGAGTTAGTATGAAGCTGTATTTGTATATGTATTATTTGCTTTACTCATCACACTTCTATCATTTACAGATGCTTCAGGGCCCAAATAAAAAATGCAGTTTATCAATATGATTGTGATTTTGTATAATATATAAATATTATTTTAATTTATATGAACAATAGTTCTTTTACGGATTTGTAAGAGTTCTGAACATTGATTGTTGTTTTGTATTTAAGACTGCTCATAAAAAAAATTCATTACACGAACACAAATTAAATGACAAGAAATCTAAATTAATTAGAACAAAATATAGGTGTTTGAATTGTAGTCATATGTTTGATACGTTATATTTTTTTTGAATGAAAAAATTATTTTAAATTAAATAAAGAGAAAACTTATAGTTGTTAAGTTCAGTTATATATCAAATATAGTAAAACAAAATTAATTTTAATAGTAGTTTGAAAGTTGGTGAGCAGTAATAAGTTTATATATAAATATTAATTTATAGATTAACAATTAATTTTTATATTATCAAATTAGTAAATTTTTAAATTAAATCATAATACATTTTTCGAATACGTTAAAATAGTTTAGATGTATGACTACATCAAAATGATATTAAAAATATTAATTTACAAATAAAATAATTTCACTAAAATAATAATTAAATATTTATGAAAACAATATGCGCGTAGCGCGGTAACATCCATAGTAATTATAAAGCAGCTAAATAAACAAAAACTACTTGACAAATAAGTTTCAGTCTCTTTATCCAAAAACAAAATAAGATAAAGTTTAATCTAATTTATTAATAAATCTTAAACTTGCAAGATGAATTTAGAACCACATGTGAATTTTTCTGCTTTATTATTTTGTGCGCTTAGCATTTTTTGTATATATAATGTCTTTTTTCATCTTTTTCATGCTTTGTAAAATATAAGAAAATACTTAAATATCTAAAATTTATTTATATATGTATTGTAATTTAGTGCGTGAACTTATCTATAAATTGAGCTCTCTGTGACTGTCTCATTACTTTCTTACATCACAAAGACTAAATTAATGAACAAACAAAACTCTTCCTCTCTTCTAAGAATAGCTTCAACTAGTAAATGCCAATGAAGAGTCTCTCATTTCTTGCAACTCTATCTCTCTTCGCTTTAATACATCCATTAGCCATTGCTTCTGATCCAAGCCCCGTTCAAGACTTCTGCGTCGGTGTAAACACCCCTGCTGATGGTGGTATGTACTTAATGATTTTTTACGCATACATTTCATTGGTTTCTCATTTCTTATATACTTTCTTTTTCCTTATATACTCTTTTGTTATTTGGTTATTCATCAGTGTTTGTGAACGGAAAATTTTGCAAAGACCCAAAGCTCGCCACAGCAAACGACTTCTTTTTCACAGGGCTTGACAGGCCAAAAGTTGCAACCAATGCGGTGGGAACAAGTATAACTCCCGTTTTTGCTGATAACCTTCCGGGGTTAAACACCCTTGGACTTGCATTTGCCCGTGTTGATTATGCAGTGAACGGGCAGGTCCCTCCTCACACCCATCCACGTGCTAGTGAGTTCGTGGTTGTCCAAGAAGGAACACTTTTGGCTGGTTTTGTCTCGTCAGACCAAGATGGAAATCGTTTATTCGCTAAAATACTCAACAAGGGTGATCTATTTGTCTTTCCAGAGGGGCTCATTCATTTCCAATCCAATGTGGGACGAGTTCCAGCAGTTGCATTCGCTGCATTTAACAGCCAAAACCCAGGTCTTATCACTATTGCTAACACCGTGTTCGGGTCTAACCCGCCGATAAACCCGGATGTTCTTGCAAAGGCATTCCAGTTGGATCCTAGGGTTATCATGGATCTACAGGTCAAATTCTGACCATGGAAGGAATTAGAAATATTGAGCATTTAATTGCTTTCGTTTTCTTTACCTTTATATAAATAAGGATCATGTATTATCCATCCGGTCATCAATAAAGTAATATATATATGATGACAACCGATCATTTGGCAGACATTCTCACTTAACCACTTAGTTTCCATCAGGTCAAATCCATGCTTAACCACAATGAATAAGCAATTATTTGAGACTTTGAAAGATATATTTGTTAAAAATAGAGAAAACCTTAATGAAAATGGTTGACAACTAGTCGTCATTTTATTAACACAAGGTTCCCTCATTTAAAAATACTGAAGACAAAATTTTCTCGATGGACCTGTCTACCTCTGGACTAAGTCGGCATATATACATTTACCATCACAAGGTTCTTGCATGCCACATGAAAAATGTTTAATGCGTCAATCCAATATGGTTCTTGCATGCCACATGAAAAATGTTTAATGCGTCAATCCAATATAGTTGGCAACTTTTTGTTGGGAACATTGTTTGAAGTATAGTTGAAGATTTTTTAGTTGTGGACTCTGGGCCTCCTATTGATAAAAACCTAAATTTACTTCTCTATGCATGTAATGTTGTAGGTTTAGCTTTTGGGCTACTTCTTTTGTCTTAAATTACTTAAATTTATTTGGCATGCTACCCCAAAAGTTTTAGGTATGACTCTAACTTTTTTTAAAAAAATACACTAGTTTTTAAGTTTTAGGTATGGCTCTGACTTTTTCTGAAAAAATACACTAGTTTTTTAGTTTTATTAATAATATTTTTCAAAATATATATCATGATTTATTGTCCACTTTTATACGTTTTTTTACATATCTTTCGTATTTTTTTCTATCTACCTCTTTATAAAGAAGTATAGAAAGTTAGATTTGTATACACACAAATTTTTTTTTTTTATCCTTTCTCTCTCTCTCCTAGTCTTTCAGTGATATGTTCAGTGTTTGTGAACGGAAAGTTTTGGACAGACCCAAAGTAGAAGACTTTTTTTTCACAGGGCTTGACAGGCAAAGAGTCGCAACCAATGCGCTCGGAACAAGTGTAACCCCCGTTTTTGCTGATAACCTTCCAGGGTTAAACACCCAATGAATCACATTTTCTCATGTAAATTATGCAATAAACGGCCTAATCCCTCCTCACACCCATCCACGTGCCAGCTAGTTCTTAATTGTCCAAGAAGGAACACTCTTGGCCGGTTTTGTCTCGTCGGACCAAGACGGAAACCATCTTTTCTCCAAAACACTCAACAAGGGTGATCTAATTGTGTTTCCAGTGGGACTCATCCATTTCCGTATCAATGTGGGACGAGTTCCAGCTGTTGCACTCACTGCTTTTAACAGTCAAAACCCAGGTCTTATCACTATTACTAACACCGTGTTTGGTTCTAACCCACCGATAAACCTTAACGTTGAACCCTAGGGTTGTCATGGATCTACAGAACAGATTCTAATCAACACAACAATAACTCATAAGTCTCTTCATGGTTTGACACATCAGCATTTTCAAGCTTTTAAGAGATGACACTTCAGCAAAAAAAAACATCAATAAAAACATTTCATTAATACAAGTCATCAATATATTTTAACTTTTAAATTTAAATCAATTAAAATCCAAATATTTTTTATTGTTAATTTTAGTTTTATTTTTTGGTCAAGCCCAAGCCCAAATAATAAATAACAGTAAATAAAAAAAATTTGTTTTATTTTTTTGCCAAACCCAAATAATAAATAACAACAAATAATAAAATTAAATCTTTGTTTTATATTTTTGCCAAACCAAAACTCAAATAATAAATAACAGCCAAAAAAAAAAAAAATTTCTACCTATGACTATGCTTCCATAACAACAATGCAAAAAGCGTTATGTTATAAGAAGCTCACACATCAGCAAAAATTTGAACCAATAAAAACATAACAATAATACATATTATTAACACACTAATAAAATCAATTTACTATTTTCCTGACCCATTAAAAAGCTCAAAGTTTACAAAAAAAAATAGAAGGCGAAAGCAAATGAGGAGAAATTCAGACCACCACAGCTTGGAGATTCGCATTTCCACTGGTTACCGAGAACAAATTTTCTTAGGTTTGGTGGAAATAGAGAATTTCCTGGTTTTGGTAGAAAAATGTGATTTTCAGTTTTGGTAAGAAAACATAGTTTCTCGGTTATGGCGGAAAAAAGCGAATTGTCGGGTTTGGCAGAAAAATGTGAATTTTTGGTTTTGGTGAGAAATAAAAAATTTGATTTTGATGAGAAAATGCGAGGGAAATGCAACTTTTTAATTTTGACGAAAAATACGATTTTTCGGTTTTGATAAAAAATACAAATTTTCGGCTATTGATGGATAATGTAATTTCTTGATTTTTGCGGAAAATTGTAATTTGACAATTTTGGCAGAAAATGCAATTTTTTGGGTTGATAGAAAAACAAAATTTCTCAATTTTGGCGGGAATAAACAATTTCTTGGTTTTGATGGGAAATGCAAATTTTCAGTTTTTGATATATAATTTGATTTTTTTGTTTTCGAGGGAAAATATGATTTCTTAGTTTTTGCGGGAAATGCAATTTCTCATGAGATAATACAATTTTTGGTTTTCGCGGAAAATTGTAGTTTATCGGTTTTGATAGGAAGACGTGATTCTTGATTTGACGAGAAATTTTTTTTTTCTTGTTTTGGTGGGAGTAGACGATTTTTGCGGAAAAATGTCTTTTTGGTTTTTACGCGAAAATACTATTTTTTGTTTTTGCAGGAAGATGAAATTTTTTGGTTTTAGTGAAATTACTTGATTTCTCTGTTTTGACAGGAAAACACAGGTTCTAGCGGGAAAATGTGATTTTTTGGTTTTTGAAGGAAAATGTAATTTTTTTGTTTTGGTAGAAAAATGAAATTTCAGGTTTGACGAAAAAATAATTTTTTTTGGTTTTGGCGGGAATAGGCGATTTCTCAGTTTTGTGGGAAAATATTTTTTTTTGTTTTGTCGGAAAATGCAATTTCTCGGTTTTTGTAAAATGATAAAATTTCTCTGTGCTAATTTTCAAAGTTACAATATGTTTATAGTAACCAAAATTGAATTATTTAACTTCAACTAAATTGATATTCCAACAGTTCAAATAGAACTTTCTATTTAGTTCTAAAGTAATAGTAATGATTTTGATATGAATGTTATTGATTATAGTTTGGTAGTTTTAAAAACATATGTCTATAATAAATATTTGATAAACAAATAAATTTTATAGTTTAAAATAATAATTTTAATTAATATTTTTTTTTAAATGGCAATTTGCTTTATATAATTTCAAAAGAGGATCAAGTAGCAATTTAGTAGAGAAAATAAATTACATTTACCATTAGCATGAAGGTACTTAAAATGTATTATTTTATTCTTACATATACATTTATAGATAGTTAGCAAAACAAATATGTTAGTAGATTAAATTTTTTTAAAATTAAAAAATTAATGATATATAATGTTTATTCAGATTTAAAACATATAAATACATAACTTAAGCTAATAAAAAAATAAATATAATACTCATTTACATTATAGAAATAATTTTATTATATTAAAAATATATACAAATTTAGAAATTTACAACGTAGCGCGGATAAATATCTAGTCATATAATAAAAAAATAAAAAAATTGAGCATCTAATTGCTTTAGTTTTCTTTAATTAACTTTGTCTGGATAAGGATTATGTATTATCCATCTGTACATCAATAAGACAGTAACGTTATATCATGTTGGTCGTTGTCATTACCCTTGAACGACGTTCTTAATAAATTAATATTTGATTTTCTGGTGTGACCAAGTTTAATTAATGCTTACAGTGTCGCTATTGATTTTTTTTTCTCCCGACGAAATTAGATTTCATGCATATTTACTTTAGAAGATACAAGCATTGGGTTAACCAAGATGGTAAACTGTAAATAGATATAACCAGAGAAGAAAGCATAAAGTTAAGAAAGATTTATATGTGTGATGCTAGATTATGTGCCAGAACATTAAAATTACAATTGCTATGAGCCTATGAAGGAGTTGAATTTCTTAAAATTTGGTAGATCATGAAATGATACAAGAAATAAATCATATTTTTCGCCACTAGCTCCACCATCTAGCTTCACACTTTCAGAGAGCTCTCTCTGCTTTGACCTTGCAGTCGAGATAACTTCTTCCAATATCAGAGATTCTTTACCATACTTCAAAATATGCTTAAGCTGATCGTAGTTTGCAGGTAAAGAATTCAAGAAAAGAATTGCTTGATTCTCGGCAACAATCCTGAGGAAATCATACACATTAATATTTATCAACCTTGATTCATCATACTGATATATTATGGTTTTTATGGGTTTTTGACCATGATATAAATCATGTTTATAGAGTTTTTTTCGGTATAAATTGATCACCTAGAATTCAGATCTTAGGTTGTTTAATAGATGTGAAAACATTATTAATCACCAGAACTATCTTAGATGAGCAAAATAACTGACTGCAAAGGAATTTGGATTAGTGATTTTGTAAACATATCGAACTTGAACCTTAATGCTTGTTTAGGTTGTTAGAATTTTCAAAGGAATTTAGAATTCTAGAATCTGATCATAGATAATCTCTGCGACGGAAGTCGATTGGTTTTACATTCATGTTTTCGAGTTCTAGAACGGTTTTAACAAATTATTCTTTCAGTCAGTAGTCTGCGATTTATGTCAACCTGCGAATTTCCCATTGCTTAGCGCTTCGTCTCATTGATTTTAAGAACCTACAATCCGCCCCTGCTCTTGTTACTTTTACTTGCCATTTCATTTCACTTGTTATCGCTTTGCTTAGTTACATTTAAACCTAAAGTCTGTTGTGTAATATTCTTAAGTCCTTGTGGATTCGACCCCTAAGTGCTACAGTGATCTCTTAATTTGAGAGAGTAGCTCTAAGGATAATTTGAGTATATCAAATTTTGGCGCCGTTGCCGGGGACTTAGTTATTACCTTCAGATTTTTGGTTTTAGAATTTTGACTAAGCTTTTACTTTCTATTCGCTAACTTTCTGCTACTTCTCTGCTGTCTGTTTCAGGTGTATGCATAATCGCAGTACCC